GCATCGGGCATCGAACCCAGGCCTCCCGGTCTGGAGTCCGATGCTCTAACCACTAGGCTACCCCCGGCCCACTTCAAACTATAAATCCCTTAAGAGTGTGAGTTATTTAACGTCACACTATAAAGCTGCGCGATGCTATTGGTTGAACCATGGTGAGGTGTTATCCTCGTCACCTGAACTGACGAGGACGACACCTGAGTTTACACCTCCCTCTCCTAACTTCCACACCACACCCACGGGAGGATGTTTGAGCTTTTACAGATGTAATGTGCATTGGTGCCTCTACACGACGGGTCTTCTGCGGTACCAAGCTCGATCTCGATCCAAGAGTCCGTGACCTTGACCACCACTAGGTTACCCAGGGGAACATTTGCAGGAGAATATCTCTGCGCTGCGTCTTAGGAGAGTGCATTAGTTTATATCCTTCTCATAGGCGTAGGGGTAAAACCGGTACTGGTAGCTCCACGTGATTCATGAGCAGTCAAATGTTTTACTGTTGGCGAAGGTACGTAGATGTCCTGTGCAATGAGCGGCCGTCCCTCGAGGAGGACTTTGCGAAGGACAACACCAGGGGGCGTCGAAGTACCATCTCGAGGGAGTTCGGCTTCTCCAAAATGTATTACCGAATTCCGGAGATTATTTTCTTCTCCCATGAAGAAACTCCAACAGACAGTTTCCCGACAAAACAAAACGAAAGAAAAGCAAACGGTTGCAGAACTATAGACTTCTACGATACAAGAACACGAAAAGGAATCCTCCGGTATGGCAAGTATAGCAATTGTGTTGCATCCCGTATTTTCGGACATTTTTTCCGATACGTTGCTCACAGAACTGAAGAAAGAATTGGGTAAGTCTCACCTACAGTTTTTCTAGTCTTTGGTTTTATTAATTTGGCCTGCCCCTGCTTGTTTCTGTCTCATCCAAAAAATGCTTCATTCATCTGAAAACGCTGATGGTTTGCCGAAGACAGCACCAACATATCAGTCATGGAACCTCTAAATGTTCAATTTCAAGCAATCATACCTGTTCTAAAATGCTTTATTCAAGTTAATATCTAATGCTGTACATAGATATATGCTTTTTTTTTCTTCCAAGTTTTTTTTTTTATTATTTTTTTCCTTTATCCTAGATCAATTCATCAATTTTCGGGTCAATTTAAAATTTTCAAAATAAAATTTGGATTCATTTTCAGCTGGAGTTTTATGAAGTATGTGACGGATCTATCCGCGATCCTTCAAATAATCTCCTTGGGAAATCTTTCGGCTATCTATCTATTTGCGTTGTTCATGATCAACTCTCGATGAATTTCTTGGGCCTTGATCTGACTACCTCAGACAGGTGGCATTAGACGCATACAACAACACAACCAACTCTTCGAAAGAAGAAAATCGTGATATTCAAATATTACTATATAGAGTTGAAGTTTTCTAGCTTTAATAGAGAGTAGGAGAGGAAGAGTAAGACAGAAACCAGTGAGATTGTTACTGAAAGGTATCCTATTTTAATTATTGTGATTCAGAGATTTATTCGGAGGAAGCTTTAAAGTGACGTTCTTTCACTGAGATCAAAAATCGGATTATAAGTTGGATCCTTTATAAAATAAGGATCAAGTTTAATAGTCTCCTAATCCTTCGTGTATTACCGTCGTTATTCCACTTTCGCGGTTAGCATCGAGGCAATCTCTTACTATTATTTATTGAATTTGTATCTTTTTATTATGTGATAAATAATTAGATTAATTGGATCATGTCGAGTATTTCTTCTCTACCTCCCACATATCTAGGTGCTCATGAAAGAGGTGGCAACCTCTCCCAAGTAGAGTGCACCGTAGGAAAGGCATTGAATTGCACATCGTTTGGTTGAATTCCTTGAGACATTATAACCTAAAAATTATTGCAATAATCGATATCTACTTCCTGTTTTATGTCACAAGTGGTTTAAATGCGTAAAAGTGTATTGTTTTATTTCTTTATTCCGTATGTACTACAAATACTAACATCAATTTTAATAAATAATAAAAATAAAAATTATGATATCTAGCCGGCTGGGATGTGTACTTGATTTGTCGCTGGCTTTGAATGCCTAAGGATTCGGGTTCGACCCCAGTCCAAGTCGGTGAAATTTCCTGTTGCAGAAAACCGACAGCGTCCATTTCGTATGATTATGCAGCATGTAAAAGATCCCTAGAATGCCTGTTTCACTTGGGTGTTCTTGGCAAAACTAAATTGCTAAGGACCGTTTCGTATCTTCAAAGCTCAGGTATCTTCCTTAAGGGAGAAAACTAGCCGTTAAAATTACTTGCGGCTATTGGTATTCTACCTATAGGGTGCCGCACTAAAAAAGAGGTACCAACTCTGGGGAATAGACTAGGTCTGTAATGGTAAAACACCAATTGGCAGTCACATTAAAAAAACAATAATATCTAAAAGACGTTGGACAACAATATATATTCAACTCTTTCTCAGTAATCGTTTGCTGTAAATTTAATTCCAGAAAAGAGAATTATTCGCTGAAATTTCTTAAGAGAGATGAAGTAAACAAATACCTGATTCTAGAGGCGCTAAATTTTTGTCGTAGTCACCAGGAACGATCGAATTTTTGGGGGTGCAGGTGCAGCATTGACTGAAAATAAAAAGAATAAAAACCATTAAAAGTTAAACCTTATGATAAAATTACTTTGGAAGAAAGAGAAAATCTCTATTTGTATATTCTTAGAAATCCAGTATAATTGATAAAGTCTCCTCTGATTATTATGCTAAGTGAACAGGATATAAAATGGTTATTTTGAGTGGTGGGGGGATTTTAAACATATTAACTATAACTGAAAACAAATAACCGATGCCTAAGATACCTGTTAAACCGAGTTAGAATTTTTTTCAAGTCACTTTAGTTCAAAAAATCATTATAATTTTCAAAAAACAGTTTTTTTAAATAATATATCTCTTTCTAACTCGAAAAATATTATATCTTTGCCGAAGTCTAGCCATTTGCGATGAATAACTATTATAGTTCACATTCTCCCTATATACATTTATTTATATATATCTTATTCACATTTTTAGTCGTTAATAAAATACTTTTTATTCATCCACTCAAGTTCAAATCCATTTTTCTTTAAACTTGTAGTGAATGACACTGCATGTTAATACAGTTTTTTTAAATATAAATTCATTAATTAAATTTAATTAATGCAGTGCTTCTCAAACTTTCAAAACTGGCTCCCCCCTTATCAATCACAATTTTTATCGCGCCCCCCTTATACATTAATAATGTACTGAATGCAATAATAATGCACTTTTTTTACGCTAAAGTAATAATATTAATTATATACCGAACAAATTCATGACATAAGTATTAAATTTTGTATATGTTGCTTTTAAGCAAAAAAATATTAAGTAATAGGATAGTTATTATGTTATTTTTCCTTTCTCTAATTTTTAAATTGGAATATATTGCAAAATGCGGTGGCTGCTTAGAAGGCAAAATATAGATATCAGCTTTTTTTTAGAAAGAACTCAGTGGATCAATTTCTAATCATATAAGCATTCCTTTGAAAAATTTGCTCTGTAAGACAAGCCCATGGAAGTCGCTAATACTTATTAAACTTGTTCTTAATTTAGCATTAATTAATTAGTTATAAAATACTCTGTGCAGCACTGATACATTAAAAGTATACCGGCTGAAATACCCGCTACTTGCACGATTTCATTTATAAGAAAATAAAACATTATTGATATAATCGCTGAATTTTAAGGAGAGTAAAGCCAAGTGCGCAACAATGTTTGCAAAAATGTAAAATGATTTTTTAAAATCATTGCTCAAATTATAATTAGTTTTAAGCGAACTGTAATTTTAAGCCTCACAGAATTAGCATTTAGAATTGATGTTGAATAATGAACAATAATATTAAATTCCGATGAGAAATAATTGTATTATTTTTAATATTTAAAGTGAAATGACTTCAACATGTTTTAAACCTGGAGCAGGCACGCACTCGATACTAATGGTCGAAAAGGGCGCCTTAACGATGTCCTTGGTTGGTTTAGCACGGTGGTTTGTTGCGTTGTCATTAAGGAAAATCACTTTGTGCTGCCATTTCTTGTATTGCTCGTGTTTTTCGAATATAGCATCGTTTAAATTAAGTAATTCTTGCTTGTAGGGATCAGTATTAACGGTTTCTCCGGATTTGAGAAGCTTATAATAGATTGGTCTCTCCTGATCCCAGAAAATACACAGCATTGTCTTGCGGCCGAAGCGATTCAGCCTTGCGGTCGATTTGGACGGCTTTCCGGGGTCAACATATGATCGATTACGCTTGGGATTCTCAAAATAAATGCATTTTTCATCGCCAGTCACAATACGATGGAGATATGACTTGCGTTTGTAGCGGGCAAGCAACACTTCGCCCACGAGTTTTCGGTTTTCCTGATGACGATCCGTTAGCTCGTGTGATACCGATCTACCGACCTTTATTATCTTGTCCATTGCTTTGAGACGACGGGAAATAGTGCTCTGGTCTACATTCAATTGTTATGCAAGATGTTCTTGCGTTTGGCCATCATCTTCATCGAGTAATGCTTGCAATTCAGTATCTTCAAATTTTTTTGCTGGTCTGCCACGCTCCTCGTTTCTCACATCGAAATCACCATTTTGAAACTTTTCAAACCACCTGTAGCACTGCGCACGGCTCAGAGCATTGCCACCGTATGCTTCTACATTCGATGTGATTCGGCAGCATTTTTCTTCAGATGGTAACAAAAAATTAATGCTGTCCGCAAATAGTGGTCGGAAGGCATAAATTCGACATTTTCAACACCGTAAAAAAATACAATGCACACTGAAACTCGTCCAAATGTAAACTAAACATGAGTATCAAAGATCAAACTATAAAAAAAATCACGTGTCACGGTTTCGTATTGTTTGCATATATGCGTGACGACATCTGTTAGCAGTCGTCTGATATGCATACACCTGGTATAGAATGGAACCTTTTTCGTTGTATCCCTGTAACACAATGGATAGTGCGTTGGACTTCTCATCCAAGGGTCGTCGTTTCGAAACCTACCGGGGATGGCCTAATTTCTGCGAATGTGATTTATGAATGTATAAGCAGTAACAAACAAAAAAATAATGCCCCAACATCTTTTATGAAAAGGAAGATCGCTTTCTATTTTGCCACTTTCTTTCTGTCCTATGTATATAAATATTTATATTAATTGTAATTTATTTAATAAAAAGTAACTAAAATAGTTTTTTTCTTGACCTAAGTAGGAATTGACTTTAATATTTTTTATTGCACCACTGGCCATTAAAGTCGCTACACCAAGAAGTCGATGTGCTATAGACTTGAAATTTAAACGAGAGAAAGAAGGTGCTGTGTTATGCGAATGAGCTGAGTTAAGAATTGGGGTCGTTTGCAAGACAAAAAGTGTCTGCACGGACAGGTTGACGACGTTTGCAGCAGCATGGAATCTCAGCTCGGAGATCATGGCTGCGGCAACCCTTGACGTTGCATCACAGACAGGAGCGTCTTCAATGGTGTGGTCAACGACAAACCTGGACACACGAATGGTGGGACATTTTTTAGATGAATCGGGGTTCTGTTTACAGCATCAAGATGGTCGCAACCGTGCTTAGCGGCATCGTGGTGAAAGCACATTGGCAGCGAGCATTCGTCATCTTCATACTGGCCCCTGGAGGGATGGTATGGGGTGATATTGGATACATCTCGGTCACCTCTTCTTTGCATTGATGGCACTTTGAACAGTGCATGTTATATTTCTAGAGTGTTCCGACCTGTAGCTCTATCCTTTATTCAAGCCCTGCGAAACCGTACGTTTCAGCAGGATAATGTACGACCGCATGTTGCCGGTATTGTACTGACCTTCCTTGATACGGATTCTTTGTTCGGTTGTTGTCCTGGCCTGCACTATCATTAGATCTCTCACCAATCAAAAACGTCTGGCCTATGGTTGACAAGTAACCTAGTTCTTCACCATACCCCAGTCAATACTATTAATGAGCTGTGACATCGTGTTAAAGCTGCGTGGGCACATGTACCTGTACATGCCATCCAATCTCTGTTTGACTCAATACCCAGGCGTATAAGTGTTGTTATTACTGCCAAAGGTGATTTTTCTGAGTACTGATTTCTATAGAACTATGCACCCATATTTCTTGAAAATTTAATCTCACATGTTATTTCTAGCATAATATACGTGTCCAATAAATATCATTTTGTTCTCTGCATTCCTTTCTAGCGTAGCCAATTTAAGTACCAGTGTTGTTTCTTCTCAAATCAAATCTCCCTCCTGCTACTGAAGATTCTTTGTTTAAAGAGGGGCTGTTAAATCTGTCGAAACTCAAACCCTCACGTTTCCATGGTGTGGAAGTTTGGAGAAGGTATCGTTCGCATATATCTCTCCCGTATACAAATATCTAAAATTCTCTCATTACATTTCCAATTACTCGATCCTTTCACCTCTCCCACAGCGAGGGAGATTGATAATAATCCTTTGGATAGAGTACGTGAAATAATTAATTATATTTTATTAATTAGTGCTAATTATTTATTCAATAATTTATTTTGCTACAATTTTAACCGCCCATTGATTAAATCAAAAGAGTATGTTTGATAGCTTGTTGGGAATGGCGAACTTTCGATTCTCACTCCCCCTCCCCCCACCTTTAAAAATTCCTGTGTGCCCCACTGTTTCGGCTCCCTACTTTTCGGCTTGAATTTCAATAATGGGTGAAATAGTTCTACTATGAAGCTTCACGAAGGCTATTGGTGACCGACGTCGTCATTTTAAGCATGGCCGAGTGACGAGGTCGACATTTCAGCTGACATTCCCCTCTCCTAACTTCCTCACCAATGGGACGGTGCTTGAGCCCAAACATATTTAAAGTGCAACAGCCCCTTCCAAATGTGTCTTCAGAGGTACCAGGCTCGAACTCGTGACAATCCAGCGCGCGAGTCCGTGACTTTGATCACTAGGCTACCACAGCAAGTTGAATTTTCATTATTATTGCAACTTGATTTTGGTAGAATTGATATTAATAATTCTCTGTGTTCTCTTACATCATTGTGATTTTTACAAGCTTTTATTTAATTTGCAATATAATTTGTTCGGGGGGAAATCTTACAACTCTATTTTGAAGCTGATGTCTTCAACTGATTGAGATGGAATTTTGCATACTAGGACCGATAACAATACAATAATTTTAAAATTTTGTTCCATTATTCTGATTAGGATAACCAGGAATTAAGGTTTTTAGATTTGGCGATTAATTCCAGATTTAGCGACTAAAATATTAAGGCGTAACCCTAAAAGCGAATACGCTCGAAGTTAACAAAAAAAAAGTGTTCTTTATGTGAGAAAGGGGAGGGTAGGTGCGTCACAGCAACTTCTTACCATAATATATCGTTGGGTGGATGACTTGGGTACCCAGCTTTTTCGAGCTGCAACCTCATATCAGTAGGTATTTGAGTGGCTTTATTTGATTGACTATTGCCCTTTGTCGAAGCCATAATATACAGAATTGTGTTGTTTTTCTTAAAATGGAGATAAAAAGCAATAAGTTTAGAAGTGATGATACGCATTAACATTATAGAAATACGTTTAAAAAGTTTTTTTCTTCTTTTCAACTCCTAAGCAATTACTCATTCTTTCTGTGAGTACACAAATATTACTCGAGGAATCAAGTATAACTTTTAATTTTATTCTTTGAATATCTGCTCTGCGAACATAAATTTCAACAGTTGAAAAGGGAACATTTTTTTTTGTTTGTTTGGGCCATCTGTTATTACTCAACACTGATGCGGGCGTATTCGTATTAACACAATGTGCAATTTCCAGCAAAATATAGCCACGGAACAGCAGAATGTAGAATGCTGCCTATTATACTATATTGGGCTTGCACAGTACAATTTGTACACAGTACTGTCGACTATGCCGTTGTATACTTAGGTTCGAAGCTCTTCACTGCTGGTAAAGCATACGTTGCCTTAAATAGGATAAAATCATTAGAAGGCCTTTTTATTGAAGAGCTAGACTGTTCAAAATTAACCGGCAAACAACCTTGCAACAATGATGCGTTGAATGAGATGAACAGACTGAGAAATCTGTCCAGCGATAACTAAAAAGTAAAAAATAAGTTAAAAGTACAAAACTTTTTTAAAACAAGCTCTTATTTAAATGCGCTAAAAAGAATATAATACACTTTTCCTTTAAAACCTTTTTTACCATCAACTTAAAACTCATTACACAATTTATATGATACTAGCTGCAGGGCTCGGCGTTGCACGGGCTTTCTCTACTTTTATAAATTTTCCCTTTCCTTCACAAATTAGCACTTCTATTACTCTTTTTAAAAATGACTTCCCCTCCCACCCCCTCTGCCGTGAAAGGAAAAGCTTATTTTATTCTTTTTAGCCCATTTAACCATCTAAGCGGTCTGCATGTAAAATCCTGCTATTCTAGAGATGCTAGAATGGCCACCACCGATAATAAATTTGCATCGCTCTTAAAGAACTGTTATTTTCTTTGTGAGTGTTTTGCATAAAATCCTTGAACCCGAATCTACGTAATAATATTATTCAGTTGATCACCAACTTTCGTAAATATTAAACACATTTTAGTGCCCATAGAAGATGAGTATAGATAGTCAGTACAAACGTGATGTGCTACATCTTTTTTTTTCGTGTGGTGAATCTGCCAGGTCTGCAGTGATAAAAGTTAATAATGTACATTGTGAACACACTATTAGTGTAAGGACTGCCCAGAAATGATTTTAAAAATTTAAAATTGGAAAAAGCAGCATTGGTGATAAACCCCATCCTGGACGTCCTGTCAATTTTGATGACGACATTCTTCCAAATCTTGTGGAGTCAGAGCCAAAATTAACAGTAGATCAGATCGAAGAAAGGAGGAATTAATCCCATGGAACAGTCCTTCGTCATTTAAAGAAGATTGGAAAAGTATCCAAGCTTGAAAAGTGGGTACCACATGAGCTATCCGAAGCCAATTGTCAACAGCGAATAAATATCTCCATTTCCCTTTTATCGCGCTTCGAAACAGGTGACGAAAAATGGATTATCTCTCATAATGTCACAATAGAAATAACGTGGACAGATAGAGATAAGCAGCCGATTCTAACAGCAAAGGTGTCTTTACATCCCAAAAAGGTTCTTTTGAATGTTTGGTGGGATATGTATGGTGTAATTTATTTTGAACTGTTAGAACCAAATCAAACGACTAATTCAAAAGTTTATAGTGAACAACTTTGCCACCTAGACTCAGTATTGATCAAAAAACGCCCATGATTGGTGAATATCAAGAAAGTGTTGTTTCATCATGATAACGCTAGACCGCATACGGCTCGAACAACACTGCAAAAAATTAGTGAATTTAATTGGGAGCTTTACATCCTGCTATCTCCCCAGATATTGCTCCAAGTGATTTTCTCTTATTTCGTACTTTACAAAAATTTTTACTGGGAAAAAACTAAGTTCTAAATAGGATGTACACAGTGAACTTTCAAGGTTTTTTTTTGTATCAAAACCAGAATCTTTCTGCAACAATGGTATAAAAAAGCTGCCTGTAAGATAGCGATACATTGTAGATAATGGAGGAAAATAAATAATTGATTAAAACTATAAATTGTATTTTTTATATTATTTAAAAATTTACCAAAAAGAGTGCGCACAAATTTATGGACTGATATAATATTTGTATGTTTCTGTGAACTTTGAATGGGTGCTGTTGGATATTTTTATACGCATTAACTAATTGTTTCTTATTGGAAAAGAAATCTGCTGTATTTACTCAAGAGCTCCATAATAAGTTTCAATTGACTTCGAATAAATTCCTATTTGAAAACCTATTCCACCTCATAAACGTTATAAATATTTAATTTTATTACAGCACAATATCGAACCGGTATTCGGTCTGATATTGCAATCCCTAGAAGAGTACCGGTAATACCTAGCCAATACCGAATACCGGATCAATACCGGTATTCGGTATATTTAGATCTTAATACCGGTAGTAAAAGTTTTAGGAAAAGAAAGG